CGGACGGTTCCAACAAGAGAGCAGATGTCTGACACATTGGCGCAGTCAGCAGCATGCTTTCCCATGTTTCGGCGTTGTCCCACTCGGGATCTCCTGCCGATAGGGAGCAGATCCTTGGTAGGGATGGCAACCCATGCAGGAAGTCACGGTTCGAGGATGAACCTGATGGAGCTACCTGGCCTGGACATCACATGGCTGGAGGTGTTGCTGTTCCCCTGAAGCCGAAAATGAAGATCGTATGGGGAAAGCCGCAGTCGATGACGAAGGCGAGCAGGACCCGGAGGCGAGTTCGTCAGGGCACCAGAGGACTGAGCTGCGCCGGGTCAGGAAAGGGTGATGACGAGACACTTCCTGACATAGGGAAACTATCGGACGACATGGACGTGGACCAGGACGTTTCCAAAAGAGGTTCCTCCAGGATGTTCAAGTCTGGGATGGGTGGACCCATGCCTCGGGATACTGAGGCTGGGCAGGCAGACCCGAGTAAAATGAACAACTTCTCGGGAGCTACCTTCGAGGAGTACCGAAAGGCTGCTCCCACTTATGAGTACGGCGGGGAGGGGGATGATCAGATTCCCAAGAATACTCCTATCGACATGGAGAAGCCCCTGCCGGCCGAGGCGGCGCTCCTGGCTGGCCAAGCAAGCGGAAGCTGAGGAGGCTGAGAGGGCCGCGATGGAGGCTATCCGCGGAGATGCAAGGCTTCCTGACGTTGGTCAGGAAGACAGAGCGGCGGTCGATCCTTACACCTTGACGACCGAGGACCTGACGACGTCGATAGACGCATTGACGAGGAAGCTGAGCAACATGCCCGAATGGTCGGGTAACCTGCGGAAAGGCGAATTACGACAAGCCGGAGGCTCCACTCACTGAGGCCGGGATGAAGAGTGCATCGCCGGAGGATCGAGCCTATGCCCTCACGCAGCTGAATGATGTGGTGAACTTCCACAAGAAGCATCTGTGCTTCGGACGAGGGGCGCCATCATTGAGCGCGACCGCTCCAATCAACCCCTACGCCCCCAACCAGATTGACGAGAGCAGCAAATTCCGCCCGAGCGAGGTGGTCAGCTTCGTGGCGTATAATCTCGTGATTTTGAACGGGAAGAAGGATTATCTTGCCGATAGGCAGGAGATCAGACCGGAACTGCGATCTGCTGGGCTTGTGCCTAATGAGGCTAGGACATGTCAGGTTGTGGTTCCCACGAAGGGCAGGATGAGCGAGTACGTTCCGGGCTATGACCAGGCGACGGCGGCCACGATCGCAGGCCGGGAGGCTGTGCAGGCTTTGATGAAGCTGCTCACGTGTGAGTTTGATGATTTGGTCATCAACTCGAAAAGGGTCTCGGAGTTATTCGAGGAGAAGGTGCTGAAGGATGAAGGAGACTGGACGAGAGGCTGGAAACTGGGTGAATGTTGATCAGGCCGTCTGGTTCCTGAAGGAAGTCGTGGGAATGGAGAATGCTGAGATGTCATGGAAATTCTTCATTCCGGCGATCAAGGCTCTCCCGGTAGGGCAGGTCGAGGTGATGCTGATGATCATGTATGACGAGACTGGCATCCTCCTCAAGGAACACACCAGGTTGGTGGCCGTTAGGTTCACGCGGATCGGACGGGATATGAGCTTCAGTGCCGTGCGACGTAGGTACACTGAGGGGGATGCCCCTGGTGGGTCTCTGATGTATGAGATGCACTGGGGGGAGCTTCCTATGGTGGGGTACGTCGTGATGAAGTTCCAGGACTTCAGGAAGGCGGTCCAACTCCAAAAGATGAGGCGGAATGGAAAGGCCATGATCAAGATATTGATCACAAGGCCCGACGAGTACAACTTGATAGGAGATGGGAGACCAAATGAGGGCCTGGTTCCAATTATGGAGACTATGCGACCCGATGCTGAGGTATCGCCTTCGTGGTACGTCAGAGACAGGCTGCGGAACTACTCGGATAGATACGTAGTGGTCATGGTGGATGTTCGGGTACAGTGGTCGCTGGTTGGGCCCGTGTTTCTGACGACGAGGAAGACTCTTGCCGTTCGGGACGAGATCCAGATGGGTGCGTGGAAAGCCGCATACATGTTCGATGATTACACGATAGTGTATCATCGCGTTTGGGACTATGGTGATTTTACTCCCGTTATCTCAGATGCTCTTGTGCCCTGGATGTGCGCTCCCGGTCTTCTACCCGAATTTCATCCCCAACGCGCGGACGAGGAGGACTTCGCGAGGAGCCGCATTGTCCCGGAATGGGTGAAGATCATGGGACAATTCAATCCCAAGAGGATCGCTTCCGATGTGGTCGGGGTCATCAAGAGGAACTTGATTTCCTACTCAATGGCATCTGACCTGAGGATGACGGTGCAGAGCGGTATCCGGTTGCCTCCCTATCTCGGGGAAGATAAGGGCGGGGTCGACGCGGCATGGGATGAAACGGCGAAGGTGCTCTTTCAGTTTTCCTACGTGTCGGGCATTTCGGCATCGGATGCATTCGTGGAGAAGTGGGTGGCAAAGCACCTGATCAGAACCAACCAGGTGACTGAGTATTTCCGAGCGAACCCGGCGCATGCAGCCCAATGGGGAAGACGTAGGACGACTTCCGTTAGGAAGTTCGCCCGTCATGACACGTACTTGTCCTTCTACATCCCGATGGCTTATGTGATCGGTGCTGCTGCGGGTCATGTGACCCCGATGTATCCGACCCATAGGAAGGATGCGGATATCCTGGCCAGTCATCGGTTGATGGCGGATATCAGGAAGTATCTGGTCTCGTCAACAGGATATGACGAGAAGAAGAGGCTGAAGGACGCGATTGCCAAGGTGCAGAAGGCGATCAGTGATGGACGGTCAGAGCCTCCTGCCCCTTTCCGCGACCCATTCGTCTACGTTAGTGACGAAAGGGTGAGGGCGGTTGTTGACGGTCAACAACCTGAGCCGCCAGAGATAAACATCGACGAGCTTCAGTCGGTGCATCACGCTTGCACAGGCTCCTGGTCCAAAGCAGGAGCCGGTCATCAAGGGCGGAAAAGGAAAAGGGAAGAAGGGTGAGAAGGGCGGTAAGGGCGATACGATAGTCCTTCCGGCCCACTACCAAAGTCAGGTGAGGCAGCAGGGGGAAGGGGTCTGGCAAGAGCGATAGCTCCGCCGCCCCAAAAGCAAAGAGCAGGGCTGATGCTGGACCTACTCCGATGGAGGTTGATCCACCTGAAGTTCAACCAAAGAAGTCTTGGGTCGCGATCGCGGTTGAAGGAGCTCGGCCAAGTGCAAAGGCAAAGACAGCTCCTCCTCCGAAGGCCGGCGGGGTTCCTGCCCCGAAGGCTGAGCCGAAGGGGAAGGCGACTTCAATTCCTGAGGCGAAGAGCGCTCAGGCTCCGAAGGCTGAGCCTAAGGAGACTAAGCAAGCTGACCAGAAGGCTGAAGTCAAGAAGGAGAAGGGGAGCGGAGATGATGCTCCCGGCGATAGTCGGGGCTCGGCTGAGAAGCAAAAGAGAGAAAGGAATCCGGAGGAGCCTGCAAAGGAGTCGACGAAGTGGGAGGCATCGAAGAGACCCGATGATGTTGACAGCAGGCCAGGTGCGGCGGCAAGAGAGGCGAGTGGAGATGATCTTCACTCCGCGCTCGGCCGATCTTCGGTAAAGGACGCGGTAGCGCCCTTGACTGCTTCCAACTGGAAACTCTCAACCAGATCGTGGCGAACTCTCACGTGGAGCGGGCCCGTCGGGGGGCTGCTGTCTCCTGCACGCCTTCTCGGAGGTCCGTTGGGACTCTGGACACTAGGGATTCCCGAGAGTCGAGGAGGCGCAGATATCGACCGCGGCGTGATGAAGATCGAGATCGAAGAAGGGACGATGTTCGGGATCGTCGTGGTGATGATTCGCTCGATCGAGAACGAGATCGAAGGCGAGATGATCGCAGGAGATCCGTGAGGGATCGTGACAGGGACCGTGCGCGGGGCGGACGTGACCGGAGGAGACGTGACGATAGCCGATAGGCTAAGTCACGGGGGTTGCGGCCGATAGGCTTGCGCCCGTTCTCCAATGGTTGGCGCGGCGCGGAGGCGGTGATGCTCCTTCCGAACCGCTGAGGCGCGGAGATCATGTCTCTCCCGCACCGCTGCTCGGCTGCTGGTCGTGCGCACCATGAAGTAGTGTGAGTGAGAGGGGATGCAAACTGGTGGAGGATACTCCCAGGTTTGCGGAATTCGAATATTTTTCAGGTACGCATGGTCAGGGGTACCTCTTGCCGATAGGCGAGGGTACTAACGAACATACGTTATCCTTTGTTTCATGGCTTCTGATAAGAATTGAACTACTTGCATTGTTGATGCAAACAGTTGTGGCCGAGTGTCGTCATGTGGACTTATCCACGAGGTATGTTGGACAGCGTTACCCCGATTTATTCGGGGTGGTGGCGGGATTTTAATGCCCGGGATGTCGCGCAACTGCCTTTGTGGGTTTGCTCCACCGCTGACGGCGGTAGTGTCCAGCTGTTTGCGGACGCATGCGAGCAGTTAAGTCCTATCAGTAAATGGCACGCTCCACCCGTCATATGACGGGCTCCTCGTGAGGGGGGTGTGATTAGCCATGGTTTAATCCACCACCAGGGATGTCGCGTTAGTGACTGACCGGTGGTGTTTGGCTCAAGTTTAATGGGTTCCGTCGCGCCTCGGATGGGCGTCGCCGAACCCCTGCGTTGACCGACGGCATCTCGGGGGAGAAAGAGACCTCGGGCCGTCGCCTGGTTGGTAGGGACCATTCGTGCGGCCTGTCGTCGATCAAGGTTGCGGGTTAACTCTTTTCTCTTTTGGTTGTTGTTCTCTGGTGTGTGGGAAACCCTGATCTTTGGGACCGGGGATTGGTTTGCTTTTGGGGAACCTTTCTTTTGTGGCTTGTTTACCCCAACTTACCCATTGCCTGGGCACAGGCTCGTGCCCGAATCACAATCGTGGGCCCTTGGCATGCCCACACAGATGCAACAGAGCATCGACTTCCATCAAATGCCTGCGCCGAGGTTTGGGAAGGTGGTCGGCGGGCTGAACCTCCTGCAGGGGCCTGAGGGCCTTAGCCCAGCAAGGGTCGATTGGGTCAAACACATGTAGGTGCCATGGACAAAGAACATGACATCACCTCATCGTGCCCCGTGTTTCCCCCACCTCACTTGCTTTCTGCCTTTGTTCCTGGTTTCTCCTGAATTCAGGCCCGCAGTTGCCCCGCTTGCTTTGTCGCAGGGAGGTGCTCAACAAATGGGAGGTGGACGCCAAGGACAAGCCGGTGAAGGAGATCAAGCTCCTGCGCACCGAGGCGCACAATTGTATGCTGGGGGTCAAGGAAGCGAGGCCATGGCCACATTAAGTGCAGCGGCTTGCGCAGTTGGGTGGGACATCGAGCTTTTGACACAGGTCTTCAAGAACCCCTTCCAGGAGGTCATCGATGAAATGAACACGCCCAAGGTGGAAAAGGCCGGCCCCATTCTCGATCCGGCTGAAAGGGGATATCACTCGGCTGGGGTATCGGGTGGAAAACAACCGGAAGCTGAAATGGGGGCTCCTACAACTTGGCACCCACACATGTGGTTGGTTTCTACTTTTCCTTGGTTTCGTGTACCTTTGGTGTTCTTTAACGAGTTGCAATCAGGAAACGACTTTGTTACACGTCAGGCGCCTGCCAGATTCTGGATGTGACACACTCTGACGCAATCTGGGGCACACCCCAAACCCTTGTTTAGTAGGAACACCCCCTTTGTGGAGCATTCCAATCTAAGAAACGATCGTCCAAAGCAAGCCCAAGGGCCTGCGGTTGTTTGATGCGCCTTTCTGGTGGCTTACTCTGGGTTGAACTGTGTCCGCAAATGTTGCAAGTGTCACAGCAGGGCCAGGTACCAGAGGGAAGTGGTAAATCCCAATCCTCGTGATCCTATTTGAATGGCAAGGAACTTGTGCCAAAGAATTGTCCACTCGTGCTTGTCATCCAAAGGAAGTTCACGGCGGCTTTTCTGTCCCCCGCAGCGTGCAACCCGCAGGTCGCTATCCTCATCCCAATTGTTCCGTACTTTGCGGTACTGGTTTTGCGACGATTTTCAAGTGTGTTTCCCTTTCTTTCTTATATCAATATTGAGTTTGTTTTCTCCTTTTTTCCATTTTGCTTTCATCAGTGTCTCGCATTGTGTTCTTCGTTGCTCTTCCTATGCCCGTCGGTCGTTTCCCTGCATTTTCCCTTGAAACATGGTTCCAAACATCTGCGAGTTTGCAGTCAGGTTCCTTTTGGTGGGGTGATGTTCATAGGTTGGAGGCAGGGGGAGCCCTGAAAGGGTGCGGCCCCCGCCAGCCTACGGCTTGAAGGTGGTGGATCCTGCGGCCACCTGGTTCAGCCTGAGGCTCAGTCTTTCACTCCCAGCCTTCCTGCCAGGCGGTCAGAGCTGCGGAAAACCGGCGCCAGAAACCGCATGGTTTTGGATACAGTTGTAGTAAAAGGTCCTTTTAAGAGTTGGTACCCTCTCTGTGGTTGTTTGAGAAGGAAACCATTGAGAAACCAACGCCCATTTTGGAGAGTAGACCTTTGAAGACAACCCAGCCACCCTGAAAGTTGGCCTCGTTTTTCCAGCAAAACCAGCAAAAACCACGGCGTGCAACAAGCCCCAGCCCAGCGCCGAGGCAACCGGAGAGACCCCATGCAGGACCACAAGAATCGGAACTCCAGCCAGGCAGTTGAGGGGCCCGCTCTGCCAGATAGCATGGGAACCCTTTTCGCTGGGTTCCATTTTAAATTTGCAGGGCTTTTCCGCAGCAGGCACAATTTAATGATATGACCCTTCCGGGCAAAATTTGGTGGCCAGCTGCCGAACATCGAGCCTCCTTCCAGTTTGTCAGTTTCGTGTTTGTGGGATCGCATTTCTCTTGAGCCAACCTACGGCGAAACTCTGCATGGGAACCTCGAGTCCACGGCTATACTTCCCCAATCCTTTCCAGGGATCCTTCTTTTCAGAGCATGGCCAGGTACCTTGGCACGGGAGGAAACGCAGGGAAAGGATCCCTTTTCCGGTTTCTTTCCTTTGATTTGCAGGGTTGAGCAACTGCGGGGGGGGTTTGTCATATTCAACTTAAGTGGTCCATCCCTGGTTTCAACTTGAAGGCACATGCAACATGTGTCGGGTTCAGCAATCAGAAGCACTGGAGCGGCAGGTTGGAAAGTACCTGGATGATCTCCCGGCCCTGCCGGGAGAGAAGCGCAAGAGCGAGGTGGGAGATTCGAGGGTAAAATGGTCAAATGACGAAGGAAAAATGGGAAACGTGTTCCCCGGCAAAGCATTCTAGAAGGAACTCAAAAAAAGGGGGGTCGTTTTCGGAGAAGGAGATTCTGGTTCTTTTGCGCAACAGGATTGTCCTTTTCAGGTTTCCATTGATTGGAACCGTGGGCAGCACCCCCAAGAGTGCTGTAGCTTCTCTCTTGGAAGCTTGTCCCCAAAATGGCGGCAAAAGCCAAAGGACAACCATATTATGTAGATGTATCCGAGGAATCCCAAAGCACATCCTGACAAAGGGCCTCTTTGCCTCAATTTCCGTGGTTGGCAAAAGGATAGACACGGCACACAAGGCTGGGCCGTTAATTGTTTTCTTGCAGAGTCTCATTTTTTCCTCGCACAAATCATTTGCTTGGCAGGCTGGCATGATTGAGCCAAAACGGACACATGTGCCCGGAGATGCACAACAAATCAGTCCAGCTTACCTCCCGGTTTGTGTTCAGCGCGCCGCTGCAAATTCTGACGCAGCAGCACGCAAAGAGGCTCAAGGCTGTACAAAGAAGCCCGCACTGCGAAGATATGAAAAAGTGAAAAAAACACTGAAGCATACACATTCCCAGGCGTGTCCCAAGAGTGCAATGCGAGCTCAGGGTGCTATTGGTTTACGGAGCTCTGCAATTCACAACGACTGTCGCGTTTCGCGGCGCCCTTCGTTGGTGCCCGAGCCAAAATTTCCGTCGCTGAAAGTTGTGTTGAGGCTTGCGCCCGACAGCTTTTCCTGTTTGCTAACTAAGGTGCATTTCAGCAAGGGGCCATAGCAACCAGACATAGTCCCCACACCTACAGCATCCCATTGGCTTGTGTCGCCCACCAGCTCCTAGCAGTTCGTTGACACTCACTCACAGTTTGTTGTTCAGGTAGCGTTGGCTGGTCATTCACCCACGGAGCAGGGTCAAAGGCTGCGCGTTTTCCAGATGGGGCTACCTCACAGCGGTGGGTACGCGTCATCTTGCTTTTCTACATTTTTTCCAGCATTATTTTGGGAACAATGTTATGTTTGTCTTGAAGAGGGTTTGTCGAACCCATGAAGGACATCATCTCCTATCAGCGCATCCCGGCCGAGACCAAGTTCACCTTTGCAAACGGAGAGACCGCAAGGGTAAATTGGACCCTGCATCTTCGATATCGCACAACTCCTACATCGACATCCTTGAACAAGGAACTGTACCGATCCTCCTCAGCATCAGTCAGATGCGGAACCTCTACATGACCATCGAGCACACACCTCAATGTGACAAGATCACATGCAAGGCTTTTGGCATGAACCGTCAAGGAGTTCCAGTATCCGGTACACGACATGCGCTCGTCAATCTCGCTGGAGTTGCAAGAGTGAAGGCACATGGAGAAATTGCTCATAAGGGCCTCGCCAACTACGTCTACGATGATGACAACAGCATCAAGTTTCCCTCCGGGGATATCTCCAAGAGTGAAACTGTTTGCGCAGCAAAATCATCCGAGACGAAGGAGGACCTAGCAACTCCTAAAATCATTGGGTCTCAGAAGTAGGACCATTGGATCCTTATGGCAGGAGGGTGATGGGAACCCAACAATGTGCGATTCCCACAACCCAGCAGAGCTTGTCATGTCACTGGCTGACAGGCGTTCATTCCGAAGCTGATCTAGGCGGCATCCCCAACAAACCTGTACAAAACGGTGATTCTAGCAAGCTTCAAGCCTTTCTCAAAGAAACCTATTGAAAACTGTGAGGGGGCATCCGGCTCCCGTCGACCTGTGCAAGCCCGACCCAAACAGGACATGCCGAACGAGGAGGTGGAATACGCCAATGTCACCCAGAAGTGCGGCCACTCAGCCCTTCGCTTGGCTCGCAGTGTTTGTTCCTGGAACAGTTGGATGATCTCCTCGGCCTCCCGCAGCAAAGGTGCCCTTGGTTTGGTCTGAGGCGCGAGCTGGGTAGATTAGAGTCAAGCACTTGATGTTCAGGGAATCTGGAAGAAGCTTCTTGTGCAACTAACTAGTCGACGTTTTTTTGTTTGTTGAACTGTTGGAATGTCTTTCGTGCTGAACTACATCTAGTAAGCGTGCGACGGAGTTCATCTCAAGCAAGCGTGAAAGCTTGGGGAGGAGTCATTCTTCCGGGGATTTCCGACTTCTTGCAAAAACCACATACTGGCAGGGGTGCATTTTCAATCGTGCATGTGTCCTCTGCAAAGCTGAGCCCATGTCAGGAAAAGTAGGCTTATCAGCGGTTGGTCCTGTCCCCCTGCCAACCTTCAATAGCTCAGGTCCAAGCGAATCCGGACAGACTTTGACTTCTCATCGTGGTGAGCGCCACGGAGTTTCACCGGTTCGTGCGGGAAGAGGGCGCGGGCGCTGTGTGGTTTCTTGGGTACCCTTTCGGGGTTGCTGGGCTGGAAAGCCAAGACTAAGAGAAACTGAAGCCCATTGCAGTCATGCGGAGACAAATCCACATGTCCGCAGAAAAAGATGTTTTAGTGCGCGTGTTTAAATGGCCAATTTATTGGTAGGTTTCCTGTGCGCGGGGTAGTGTTCAATGGGTTGGACATGTTAAAACCCTCCTGGCCCCGTGCCTAAATTGGGAAGCCGTTCTGAGGTCCATGTTCTTGTTGATTGGAACGTCCCTTTGGGTGCCACATTTGGCTCAAGTTACAAGTAGGGCTCAAGGTCTTACATGGACTACGTTCGCCTGTGATCGATCTGTGAGAGAGAAAACAGGTTCATTCGCGCTGCTGATATAGAGTGTGCATTTGTGGTTATTGGACTTTACCCCATACAACAGTTTGCACTGGTTTGGCTATAACGGTTTGGCCGTATACCCTCTCTACGTGGTTGAGTACATTCAGCTGGAGGCTCGGTGGACAGCGTCCCACGGGACGTCATCTTGCCATCTCTTGACAGGTTATCAGCCGTACAACAAGCTCTACACTGGACGGAGAGACAGCTGGTTTATTGCGGGTACAGGAACTGCAGAAGAACAATAACCCACACAGTACAATGGAATCTTCAGCGAGCCCAAGTACTGCAACTTTTGGGAATGACAGTTCGGAGGGATCCAATGGATTGATGGCTCTTCCTGCGGTCATGGATATGGCTGCCGATTCGCAGGATGAACCTGGGAGCGGTGGATCCGCGCTATTCAGCGACATATCCACGCCAACAAGATCATGGAAACAAGTCGCTATTCATCAGGAATCGAGACAGAGAGATTCTCCACCGAGGAGATCATCAACTTCACCGGCAACCCCACGGGCGTCGCAAAAGAGCGTGAGGTCGACATCGAAAGGTGGGAGATCCAAATCACCCACGAGCGCCGAGTTTCGCGCAGCAATCAAAGAGAAGAACAAGATGGAGATGGAGATCGGGGAGTGTCAGAAGACGATTGATGAAATGTCGGCGGCAATGGCGAATCTTCATCAAGAGGACTATGGAAGCACCGTCCGGATCCAAGAACTGGAGAGACGATGCGAGATTGCCAGTAAGCAATCAGGGCATCTTGTGAGTCATCACCAACACCACATGGCAGAGGCCTGGCGCAAGTTTGAGGCGGAAGCCCAACAGATGCGTGAGGCGGAAATGAACGCATATCAATACGGGGAGAAGAAAGACATGGAGTCGAATGCAATGATGCAACAAATGAGACAAGCTGAGGGAATGATCATGGAGCAGAAACGGGAGATTGCAGTGATGAGATCCTACATGGCAAGCGAGAAGGCGGCTGCACAGGAATCAGCAATGCATGCAAATCAAGTTCACCGTGAAGCTTCAAAGCAGATTTCCGTTTATCAACAGCAGATCAGGGGGATTGAGTCGTCTACATCTATCGAGAAGTTCAACGAGGAGGAGATGGTTCAAAGCCTGAAATCACAGTTGGAGCATGCACTGGTCAAGCGCCCTGAAGTATACTCTTTGGAGGACTCCAGGGAACAGCTAATGACGAGACTGAATGACGTGACGGCATGTGCAGAACAAGAATCGAAGAGAGCAGAGTGCCTCCTTCGAGAGAAGGAAGAGATCGTCAAACAGTATGAATCCGACGTGTCAAAGAAAGATCAGATGATTGCTATTGAAGCTGGCCATCGTCAGGATGCTATCTTGGAATTGGCCCAGATCAGGGAAGCAACGCAAGAAGAACGGTGCACGATGGACGAGAAGTCGAGAGAGGCTGAGTTCTGGAAGTCGACTGCTAAAGGGGTGTATGACGAGTACCTCGAGGAGATGCGCAAACTTCAGGAACAACTGAAGAATCGGGAGGCGATGCTCAAACAGGAAGAGAGCTTCGTTCGTCAGCTCGATGCGGATGATGAGGAACTCAGAACATTCAAGAAGCTGGAGATACAGGAGGCCTCGAGCAAAAAAGATGAACTTCGTGAACGAGCAGTAGTGAAACGCCCTGAGGGAGGACCCCAACTTAATTCGATTAGGGAAGACAAGAAGATGACCGGGACATACCCGTCATCATCATCCAATTCGATCCCTAATTCGTCGCTAGTACCGTCTTTTGGTGATCCAATGATCGATGTACACCTATCACAGATGCAAGGGGTTGTCGGGCTAGTCCCACAACCTACTACTACAACTGGTGGTGGTGGAAATGGAGGGGGAAACAATGACAATACGCCTCCATTGGATTACAACGGATTCTCGCTCGGTGGAAGTCAACAGAGACCAGGTCAGCGTCACTTGAGTCTGGCAGGTGGTGGAGGAGGACCTCCGGATGTACCACCCGATGATGAGGATGAGGATGACGATGACGACGAGGATGAGGAAGACGAGGAAGAGGAAGATGACAATCGGACACGGAGGGGACGCAGACGATTGAGGGATGATCGCGAGATCAAGAACGAGAGGCCGAGGATATCAAGGAAAGAGGCTGAAAGGGTATCCATTCCCAATTGGCCAAAGATCCATCAACTCGATAACTGGAAGATGCAATTGCTGATGAATGTGCTGAGCGCATGCGCAGATCCGGATACCGATGCATGGACAAGATGGTTGGAACAGGCTCTCGGGTTAAACCCAGACCTCAATTTACTGAACGACTCCGCCGGTGACAGGTTTGCTACGACTGACATCAAGATGGCCATGGGCATGCAGAACATGCTGAGACAAGCACCTGACGAAGCTAAAGATGTATACCTCGATGCTACACGGCATTCGGAACTACGACATCAACAAGGAGTGATCGTGAAGGGACGAGAACTGGTGGCATTGGTCACGCAATCATTCAGAACATCTGATCGAAGGGACCTTGTCTATCACATCGAGCACTTATTCAGCCTCGACTTTCCTGGAGACAAGAACTTGGTTGTGTTCAGGAACAAGTGGTGTGACTTGCTGCTAAAGATGAGGAGCGAAGACAGACCCAGCCCATTGGCACTGAGAGATATCCTATACAGGAAGATCAAAGGGAGCAAGAAGATGGAGTTTGGCCTCAACGCCTACCACAGGTTACCGGACAAACATCCTCAGAAGTCGTACGAATTCTTATTGGCATTGATCGACCACCAAATCAAGTCGGATCGGGAGGACCTGATGCTCGACATGAAAGAGAAGTCGGTCAAAACAATGATGAAGTCGGGCGGCAAAGGTGCGGCTCCGGCTGCCGGAAAGCAGGAGGGCCAGAATGGCAAAGGCAAAAAGGACAAATCCAAGGGACCTGATGCCGCTCCTGTGCTCCCGAAGGCCAAGGCAAAGGGTCACGCTGGCAAGAACGGCAAGTCCGATGGTGCCAACGACAGGGGCAAGAGTCCGAGCGGAAACAAAGAGAATCCATGTTGGTATCACTTCAAAGCAGAGAAAGGATGCTTGAAGGGGAATGAATGCCCGTTTTCTCACAGCAAGAAGACGGAGCACAAGCTGGAGAACATGCCCAAAGGAAAGGGGAAAGGAAAATCCAAATCCAGGTCATCCTCACCAAAGAAGGAGGATGGGGTGTGCTACGCATTCCAGAAGGGAAAATGCGAGAACGGCAGTGCTTGCAAATATAAGCATGAGCTCATCAAGAAGAACAACTCGGCTCCGGCAACGTCAGGAGACAAGACGCAGCCCAAGTCGAAGGCTGCCCCCAAGGCCGCAGCACCAGCGATTGTGAGAAGGGCCATCGCCATGCCTGCGATAGTCTTGAAGCAATCGGTCCCTGCGGGAAAAGTCAGCTTCAAGAAAGACGTTGATCATGTGGAACCGGAAGAAGCCGAAACTGTCTACCACGAACGTGACGACGACGTTATGAGTGAATCGTCAAGATGGTCCGGTGAATCTGAGATCCCCGAGAAGATGGTATGGTTCAAGGAAGTCCTCGACGTCGACGAGAATGGGGGGATCACCTATCTTGAAGATGAGAGTAGGCAATGGGAACGAAAGGAAGAGTGGTATGGTTATGAGGGCAATGAGGATGGTTCTTACGAGTACGTGCACATTGATGAGAAGAAGTTCAAGGACAGCGATCATCGAGAATTATCAGCCTGTCAAGTCCAACGATCATTGATAAGAGCAAGGATACTGGAAGAGGTGGTGGACGATGTATACAGAAAGCACTACTTTCCGGTGACCAAAGAGAACACTATTGTGTTTGAGTATGGCCGGGTTGAGGACGAGATCAAGGAAGCGGTCATCGACTGGAAGAAACAGCATGGTCTGCCGTAGAATGTGTTCGCGATGTCAACATGTATCAGCAGAAGGGCGAAGTGGTTGATGGACACTGGATGCGGGCATGATCTCATTGGACGAGCCAAGGCGAAGAGTCTGGGCGTTGATATTGTACAAGGAGATGATGAGATCGTGTTCCAGACAGCGAATGGATCCACATCCACATCCGACGTGGCTGAGATAGTCGTGGATGAGTTGGACGAGACTGTCAAACCACATGTGTTGGATGAGACGCCCACGGTATTATCGATAGGGAGAAGATGCATGAAGATGGGATACGCTTTTCACTGGATGCCTGGTAAGCTTCGTACACTTACAGGTCAAGGATGACATTCCGTACTTGGTGAGCGATGGTAAGCTTCGGAGTAACAGGCATCGCCCTACGATCGACGACCTCAAGGGACACTTCTCAGAGGTCCTGGCATTGGTCACGAACGATGAGACAGATCAGAACGATGATGATGAAGATGGTATACCCGCCGCTGCCGGTGAATCTGCAGAGGCCAAGGAACCACCAGAGGATGTCGGGCTAGACCCACGTCGTCATGGTGACGCCGAGGCTGACGAGGAAGAGGTTGATGAGGATGATCCAGATGCTGGAATTGAGGGTTGACGTATACGAAGGATCATCGATCAAGAGGAAAGTGGGAGTCCTCAATAGGGACGCCGACTCCATTGCTCACTTACTTACCCACAGATACCGAAACCCTTTCTGTGAGTCGTGTGTCAAGGCAAAGATGAGGCACTTCAGATCACGAACAGGAGCCTTCAAGAGGGAGGTCAAGACGTTCGGAGACCTGGTGACGTTGGATTTC